ATTATTTATAATTTATATTTTAAAAGATTAATATGCATAACCCCTTTTGTTACTTAATATATTTTCATATAGAGAACATTTTTTATTAAATTAATCGGAAAATGCCTTCTAGTAGTGGCGTAAATAGGACAAATCCTATATAAATACCATTTGAATTCTAAAATTCCAGGTTGGTCATTGCAATTTCACAAAAGACAAATAGATCTATAGGTATTAAATTGGGATTTACAAATTTTAACAAGTTACCTTAATATCCTTTTTGTCATCTATTTTTATCTTCTCTCTCACTTCATGTTGAGAGAGCTCTTCTCTCTCTCTTCAGATCCTCTTCTCCTTCAAAGGGCGGCTGAACTGAAAGGTTGGGCATGAATTGTCAAAGTGTTCAGTGAAGAAGAAGAAGATGTGGTCTCTCCTATAGTGTTCTAGTATGCTCCTAATGAATATTTCATAATGCTTAGAATTTGAGAGTTGGTACTTCCGGTCTTTTATCTTTGGGAAAATGACAATAAAATACCACCTGAATTTCAAAAAGACAAATAAGGGACCTGAATAAGCAAAATGACAAATAGGGCACTGGGTACCAATTTGGAATATAGATTTTCGACCAAAAGACCGAATTGCCCTGATTGTCTCTGAACATTGAGCAGTGTATTCATGCGATAGAGAAAGGGAGAAACTGATTTCCTTTTACGAAACTAAATCCAAGTTCCTGTAGTCACCAAAAAGGATTTTTTGAAATCACGTTGCCGTCGTCGTAGGAGTAGATTGCCATCGCTGAATTTGGTTACCATCGCTGAAATACATTGCCCTGTCTGAAATAACTTGTACCCCCTGAAATTGTCGTCGTCGAAGAGGTCGCTGAAGTATTTGAATTATTCATGAGTGAGTAGAAGTTGATGGCGGGATTTGGATTATTCATTTTTGTGGCTGTTTCATGGTGAAATAGGAACAGGATTATTGCATTTGAGGGTTCATATTCAGTATTTGGTGAATGATGAAGCAGAAATCAGAAAATAGTCGCAAGCAATTACGTAATGTAATTGCTGTCATATGTTTGCTGGTTTTTGGTAAATCCCATTCCGTGAATGGTAAATTTTAATATACATGTAGTTAATTATGAAACTTAATAGTTCAATGTTTATTGTGATGTACTTCAGGTGCACGTTCACTGAATGATTTATTTATGCTTACAAGTTGCTCTTCCGGTGAAAACAGGTTTACAAAACCCATTGAAGAAGTGGTCACTTTCACTATAAAAGTTGTAAATCCCATTATGTGTTTTGTAAAATTCAGCGTGAAATTTTATTGGTGGTGAAAAGTAAGTTACTCATCCCCCGAAAATATATTGCAAAATCTATTAACAAAGCGGTCACTTTTATCACAAAAGTTGTAAATCCCAGCATATGTTTTATAAAATTCAACGTGAAATTTTATTGGTTTTTAGAAACAAGTTACCTATCCCCTGAAAACAGGTTACAAAAGCCATTTAAGAAGTAGTCATTTTCACTATAAAAGTTGTAAATCTCACTGTGTGTTTTGTAAAATTCAATGTGAAATTTTATTGGTTTTTAGAAACAAGTTGCTCATCCCCTAAAAAGAGGTTGCAAAACCCATTTAAGAAGTGATCATTTTCACTAATAAAGTTGTAAATCTCACTACATGTTTTGTAAAATTCAACATATAATTTTATTGGTTTTTATAAACAAGTTGCCAATCCCTTGAAAACATGTTGCAAAACCCATTGAAGAAGTGATCATTTTCATTATGAAAGTTGTAAATCTCACTATGTGTTTTGTCAAATTCGTGAAATTTTATTGATTTTTAGAAACAAGTTGCTCATCCCCTGAAAAGAAGTTGCAAAATTCATTTAAGAAGTGGTAATTTTCACTACAAAAGTTGTAAATATTACTCTATGTTTTGTAAAATTCAGCATAGAATTTTATTGGTTTTTAGAAACAAGTTGCCAATCCCTTGAAAACATGTTACAAAACCCATTGAAGAAGTGATCATTTTCACTACGAAAGTTGTAAATCTCACTATGTGTTTTGTCAAATTTAGTATGAAATTTTATTAGTTTTTAGAAACAAGCTGCCCATCTCCTGAAAACAAGTTACAAAACCCATTGAATAAGTGGTCATTTTTACTACGGAAGTTGTAAATCCCACTATACGTTTTGTCAAATTTAGCGTGAAATTTTATTAGTTTTTACAAACAAGTTATTTATCTCCTGAAAACAGGTTGCAAAACCATTAACAAAGTAGTCACTTTCACTACAAAAGTTGTAAATCACAATATGTATTTTGTAAAATTCATAATTAACTACATGTATAGTAAAATTTACCATTCACATAGTGGGATTTACCATTCACGTAGTGGGATTTACCAAAAACCAGCAGGCATATGACAGCAGTTACGTAACGTAATTGCTTGTCATTGTTTTCTGATTTCCACTTCATCTTCCCCGCAGGTTCACTCCCTCTCTTACTACAAATCCTCTTTCCCACAACCAAAACCCACCAAATCAACAATCTCTACAGAATGGTGATGCGAAGGAGTAAGATAATAGCATTTCCAACATTCTTCTTTCCTTCTTCCCGCATTTCATCACCGTCGGTCTTCCTCTCTCCTTTCTCTCACTGCGTCGCTTTCTTCCTCTCTCTTTTCTCTCACTTTCAGACAGGGCATTTTGGTCTTTTGGCCAAAAATCTGAATTCCAGATTAGTACCCAGTCCCCTATATGTCATTTTGCTTATTCAGGTCCCTTATTTGTCTTTTTGGAATTCAGGTGGTATTTTATTGTCATTTTCCCTTTATCTTTCCTTCTCAATCTCATCACCAACACTATGAGAGAGAGAGAAATAAAGTTTAGAGAAGAAGCAAAAAAAAAAAAGGAAGAGAGAGAGAGAGAGGAAGAAAAAGCACTCATAGAATCAGGGCATTTTTATGCAAGGTTTGAGAATATATTGATTAACTTTCTACTATCATCTAATAAAGTTCATTCTCAAAGTCCATTATTTCGTTAGTTTCCATTTTCTGGTATGTTCTATTACATGGGAATGAGTAATAAATTTTATTACCTAAGTAGTAAATTTCGATACTTGAGTAGTAAATAGCTCTATTGGTTTGTGGTGAAATGATAACACTTAAGATGTGGATGACTATATTTGTATTAGTAATAACAACTTTTCCATAAAGCCAAGGAGATTGACTTGTTAGTGAAATTGAACTCATTTGTTAATGGAACTGATCTTGTTATGGTAATGACTACATTGTTGTGAAGTGCTTCAATTTGCTAAATATTTCATGCTCTCCCATTATTCCATATGATTGGGTTACAATTTATAGAGTCCGGATGAGAGAAATATCTGGTTACAATCAATCAGTCATAAATTACAGATATTGCAATATCACAATAAATCAGGAAATATATATTCTAGCTAATATCATGGGTAATTAATAGAGAGAATTAAGGGAGATAATCAGGGGCTTTCTAACATGAAGCAAATTAACTTAAGTGGGTTGTGGGATTTACTACACTTCGTAATGGAATTGACTATGTTTCTTTTGATAATGATTAGATTATTGTGAAGAAAATATAGTATAGTGAATAACCATAAAGTAGTGTTTTTGCAGGAGGGAAAAATGGTATTAGAAGAAGAGCTAAGCAAAGAAGTGAAGAGTGGATGCATATTGTTTCGAAAAGAATTTCACAGGTCAAGAAAGAAGTTTAAGAAGAGTGTTGTACACACAAATGCATCATCCAACTATTGTTATGATATTTGACTTATGATTGTAGATGGAATTTGTTTACAAAAATATATTTAATCACTATTATTGCACATTTATTGATAACAAGTGCAAATTATGTTTACCTTTGGGTGTCATTATAATAAAGGTAGCTTTTAACAACATTTACGAAGTGATTGACAACTTTCAAAATGAATATACCAATTTCCATTATGTGTTTTACAATCTCTTTATTTGTAACTATTTCCAATCTATTTACACACAATTTTACTAAACAAATAACAAGAATAACAACTTGTGAAATAAAAGCGACCATTTACATAAAGAGTTTTACAATTTGTTATAAGCTATTTGTAGTCAGTTTTGCAAAACAAGTAAAAAGAATCACAACTTGCATAATATAGGTTGCCATTTGCATGAGGGGATTTACACCTTATTTATTTACAACTATTTTTAATGCTTTTGCCCACAATTTTGTTAAATATGTAACGAGAATAACAATTTACAAAATAAAAGTGACCATTTGTTCAATGAGTTTTGCAACCTATTTCAACCAACGTGTTAGTTTGTGAAAATATTCAACCCTTTTTCTTTTTCTTACTCCAAGGGCGTATTAGTCATTCTATCAAAATCTGCAAATCTCAAATTCATATATTATGCCTATTTGGTCATTTTATTTATTTGGATCATTTTTTTGTCTTTTTCAATTTCAGTGAGTATTTTTTTTGCATTTTCCCTAAAACAAACGTGGGTAAGAAAGTCCACTCCACTAAACTAAAATATCCCCTTTGAATTGCACCGTGGTGTTCAACCCTTTTTTTTTTGGCAATAAAGAAAAGAGAAAAGTAAAAGAAAAAATACATCCACACCACATATGTACAAGACACAAAAATTTCTGTGCAAAGTAATACTGTCCAGCCTGAAATTTAGATTGTCTTGGTCATTTTTATAAAATCGTAACTAAGTTTTTCTGAATATTTAATATGTTTTTACCATTTTGCTCCTAATTAATTTTTATACATTTCATATTTTCTCTCATCACTACTTTATTTCTCTCTCTTACTTGTCCCCTTATAAATAAGGATATACTTAAAAGAAAAAAAATTTATTTCTTACATATTTACTCCTCCGGTCCTTAATATAAGACCCATTTAACTAATTTGATTATATTAAAGAAGTTAGGTAAGTTAGTTAATTATAATAAATGTGACACGTTTTTTCTAAAATACCATAATCATCTTCCTTAATACCACCTCTCTCTTCTACTTGATTATGGTTGAGGGAGTATTCATAGGGGTAATTTAGAGAAAATTGATAAATGAAAAATGGGTCTTATATTTAGGATCAAAACCAACTCAATAATTGGGTCCTATATTAAGGACCGGAGGAGTATTATTTTTAATTAATTTTAACTATTTTTTTAAATCATATAATCTAATTATCAGATTCTTATAAAAAAAACTCGAAAAAAATAAACAATAAAGAACTGTTAAAATAGGCTGACCTACCCGAAAGGGCTTGCCAGTGGCAATTGAAAGTAGGCCTGAAAAATTCCCATATCATAAAACTGCTATGTTATTGAAGCTTCGCCCTTGAACAAGTGAGCTCAGCCTGGACCTACAGGGTTTCATGTCATTGTACTACTTCCGGTCCTAATTATAAGACCCAATTGGCTTATTTGAGAAGATTAAGGAAGTAAGTTAAGTTAGTTATTTGTAATAAATAAGTGTTGTCATTCCTAAAATATCCTTGCTAATTAAGTGTATTGGCTAGAACTATCATTGTTAGAAGGATTATTTTGGAAAAAAATGTATAAATATGAGAGACAAAATGGATTGGGGTCTTATAATTAGGACCAAACAAAAAGTCAAATGGAGTCTTATATTAAGGACCGGAGGTAGTATTAAATTTCAACTTTTTTTCAGTCATTTTGAAGTATCTAAAAGTAAAATAATGAAGGGTAAATATTATTAGTGATCCTTACAAGTTAATTCAATTTGGTTTTTAACTCGGTTTTGATGTCATTTAATTAAATTTCAACTCTTTTCAACCATTGTGAAGAATCTAAAAGTAAAACAATGAATGGTTGATATATTATCAATCTTCAATTCAATTTTGATTTTGATTTTTATAGTTTTGAATTATTGATTTTAGTCCCTATATTTTCATAAAGACTTGGTTTAAATTTAAGTATAGGGACCAAAACTAAAATTCGTTAAAAACACGGGGGTTACTTATTAAGCTCATATCATAAATTATAAAACTGTAGGAACTAAAACTAACAATTCGAAACTATAGATATCATAACTAAAATTTGATCAAATTATAATAACTAACAATGGTATTAATCCAACAATGAATCTCCCAAATTTTTAATTCAAATTATAAATATTGGTAAAATAAATTGTCAAGCTATTGTCAAAATTTTCAAAACTAATACAAATCCAACCTCTAACACTAATAAAATATTATCCAATCTTAAAATGGACCAAAAGCAAATAAAGTAGACAAATCATAAAGATAAAAACTAAGTAAATAAAGCATAGAACCACCATAGCAACATCAACACGCACTACTAAAATTTTTGGAATAAAATTGAATGTTTTTTATAGTTTGATTGTTTACTGCATTATTTGGTTGCTAAAAGTTGCTATCCGTTTTAGTTCAATGCAGAGTGTTGACCCAAATATATTTTATTCTCTTATTAAGAAAATAAAATTAGAAATATGAATCAAACATGATCTTGAATTCTACCTTAACTATTGCAAGGATAAAACTCACGGACCCTTGTAATGAGAATAAAAAAGTACATTTTCTACGTTTTTTTTTTTGGGGCCATTTATTTTCTACGTATATAAATAGTTGTTAAAACACACTAGGAATAAGGGGAAAAATTCTACACCCTTTGATATATTTGTTGACCCAACATACCAACAAATTCATATTCATAAATACTACCTCTGCTTATTAATATAAGACCTTTTTTTACTTTTATTTTGGTCTTAAATATAATTTCCCAATCCACTTTGTCTTTCATATTTATACTTTTTTTTTTCAACGTAATCTTTCTAACAATGATAGTTTTAGTTAATACATTTAATTAACAAAGATATTTTAGGAAAAACAATATCTATTTAGAACAAATATCTAACTCAACTTACTTCCTTAATCTCCTCAAATTAATCAATTGATTCTTATAATTAGGACCAAAAGTTAGTATATTGCTAAAATAAGATTAGAGCAAAAAATGATTGAAAGTAAAACTATTGCTCCTGCTACTTCTCATGTCTTACAAAAATTGTTGACAAAATATATTTACATCTGACAGATATGCTTCACATTTTAAATATGAAATTTGAATTGCCTCCATCCACATAATTAAATGCATTTGGAAAAATACGAACATAAAAACAAATGATGACGAGGAGTTATAACCCCACACACAATCACCTATTTTTATCACTTTTTCTTCAAACATATAAATACATAAACACAAGACACCACTTTTTCAATTCTAATAATCCACTTTAAAATAAAACAACCACTGAGATTAGTTAATAAAATTATACAACCATGAAAGTGACACAACTGAGAGCAGAGAAGGAAGTTGTATCAGAAGGAGGAAATGGAAAAGAGTTGGTAATACCAATTATTATGGAGATCACGATGGGGATGACAAGGACGACGACGATGACGACTCCTTTGACCTTAGCTCACTATGGAAGACTAGCTATATGGTCGCACGATGTCATTTCTATGAGCAAGTAACTTTTCATATTGCAAATATCACCAAACACAGCTGACTTTTTTCACAGCATCAAACATAGCGTTAGCCAAAGCTTACATTCCCTAAACGAAGAATAATACCAAACCAACCCTGAACAAGCTAGCTATACAACAATCTAGCACGTAGGAAAAAAGAACACAACCTTGCCACCTTAAAGCTAAAATACAATAATGATAATCAGTCAATCAGATATCCCACAACCACTAATACTAGAGGGGATAGTTATACTTCTTTGAAGTGAGAAGGGCCAATTAGACGCTGCAAACATTCCGCACATCACATTGCATATCGCTTGCTTAGACCGGGATCACATCATTCTTCGATGTGTCCTCGCATCTAAGAACAATGCCCTCGAGGCTTGCAGGGAAAATACACTTGCTCCATTGGCATCCTGTTGTGATTGGCTCAGATGGAGGAACGATCATGAGCACATTCTCATTCCTCTGAACGACCCCCATTACACTTACCGTACTTCCTTCCTTGATATACCTACATATCACAGATCAAGTTTCAACAGCTTAGGTCTCTAGCGTATTCAATTCCATAACGATAACAGAAAGCAAGAAGAGGGTTAGACAAAATCTCTTTAAAAGCAGTTGGCTTCAGACATGAACCTAAAAGCTCGCAATAAACTGGGTCATTGATGAGGTCAAGAGGTTTAAATATATGAAATCAAGCACAAGTATTAAATCAACTTTTACGGGTCAGGATTGTCTAAAGTAAATGCTGATTCTCAGGGTATCACATGGTTGCAGATTGAAAAAGATTCTTAGTGAAATCTCCCGGGTTCCATCTCATTACAAAAGAAATTAGAGAAGCACGTTTTCAGAAGGAACATAAAAGAGGGGGTTTATACCCTTCTTCCAACCGCATGATGCGATCATCACTCGAAAGATTTCTCTCACTCAACCACCTGAGGAACTCCTGAGACAGCTCATCTTTGGCTGGATTAATGTCGATGACAATTGAGTTATCAACATAAGGGGTTACCCTTGCTCCATACCCAGTTTTAACCAATGCTCTCAAACCAGACTGAAAATCTGAGATGTAGAAGTCCACCACGCGCCTCTGTCACATGCCATACAATATTCCAGTCAAAATTGAGAAATCAGCAAATAAAACTATGATTGATCTTTTCACACTTCGCTAGGCAAACAAAATCTTGCCCATGACTTCTATTTTTCAAAAAGAAAAAAAATCCCATAATAAAATGAGGGAACAACCACATGCTAGTCAGAAAACGAAATGTGTCCACTCCTCACAAATAGTATTGTACTATTAACCTACAACAATAATTTGCCCTTCATATTTTACTGCAAGAAGAAATGGCTTTCAATTTCACGATCAGAAGTGAAAATTACAAAAATAAAAGATAATATATAAGATTGCAGATTACTGTACAAATAGAAAAGATACAAAACTTGGCAAAATTAAACCAAATGACATTTTTGGTAACTCACTTCCAGTGATCTAAGGCCCCAGGTAAATCGGCGGTGAGTAGGATTGGCTGCTTTTGATTCCCATCCTCGGTACTCATATAAACTTGTTGATGTATATACACATCTAGGGACTTTATTGAAAGATGACTCAAGAGGCATATTACCGCAGGTAACAACCTGCATATATCACAATCAAACACAACTTGATTAATGTCACTCAAAGAGTTGCAGAAAAGATGGAGACCCAAAAAAAAAAAAAAAAAATATTTTCTTCCACATAGGCACATTTATTGGAAAATATTCCAGAGAAAAATTTTGGTCTGATGATATTTTAAATGAGAAATAGCCAGAATATATGAGGAACATGTTGATTGTAAACTTATAAACTGTGAGGAAAAATACATCGATGCAAAACAACATAATAGTTTCAATGAAAAATAAAAGAACAAAACACAAGGTTCAAATCATAACATTACAAATCAAACACTCAAAGGTGTTACAAAGATGCTACTTCCATTGTCCAACACCCACATTCATCCATACCAGCAGCTATCATAGTTGTACAAAAGTACATGCCAAGAAAGGTAAAGCCATTTCCTGATCCTAGGAATGACTTGTTTCCTAGCAAACACACAATTTCTTAATCGTTCAAAATATCGGGGTTCAGAATTATCCAATGCCGTGAGTTTCTAATTTCAGTCATTTTGACATAAAATTAAACATCTAAAACTAAATGTAAATTATGAGACAAGAACAAAATACACCAAAAGCTAGTAAAATACAATTATAATTATAATTAAACAAAATCACACTGGCACCAGGGCCGAAACCAGCACTACAACTTTGGAGGAACAGAGTTTTTTAAAATGAATGTATACTTATTGTTATTTTAAATTATTTTTAAAAATAATTTTAATGACTTTGTGTCATCAATAATTGTGTATGATTATATATAATATTTCAGAAACTTAAAAAGTATGAAAATGACACCATATATATATTTATTGGCCAGATATATCTGCACATTATTTTAAGAAAAAATTATAATGAATACTTTTTAAAATTATATGTTTTGCATACTCAAATGAATCTTACTCAATATAATCTACAAATTAGGTAAGAAAAAAAAATAAATATGTGTATCCATACAAACGCTCAACTTTTACAATAATTGATATGTAATCCTACGGAAAATTTAATCAGACAAAAATTCTCCCTCCAGTGCTAAATGTTATAGCTAGTTGAGGGTTTGTTTGGATCCTAAATGTAAGATTTCAATATGCTTTGTTTCCTAAATTTATAATTTTTTTCCCAAACTGTCCCTATCGCACATATTAAAGGAGAAGTTTCATCAATTAGGGTAGTTTCCACTACAAATAATTAAATGGGATATTTTAAAGAACTCAACACACATTATTTACGAATAACTAACTTAACTAATTTTCTTAATATCTGTAAATTAGTTATTTCACTTCTACATTTAGCACAGAAAGGATTAATATGTAAGTATAAATAGTACTTGTAAATCACTTGCCAATATACCCACACACACACAAAAAAAAGAAAAAAAAAAAAGAATGAACTAAAGAGCAGCAAGAACTTACCCCAGAGACCTTCACGAATTGCCCATTTTTCGCTGTTCTAAGCTCTGAGTCTGGATAATGACCAATAAATCCCATAATAGCTCTTCTTCCCCAATAAGTATTCCAAGTGAATGATGCAGCAACTAAGCCAAAAAGCACCACAACAACAATGAGGAGAATGGCATTGTGCACTGCTCCAAGAATAAAACCACCAGCAATGAAACCCATCACAAAAAGCAGAATTAATGACCATAACATTGCCTTGGGGAAGTTCCTTTTGAAGGAATACTCATCATCTTGACTGAGAGTAGTTATGGCATGATTATGGACAGCAGCAGACCCTTGCAACTTCATTGAACCAGTGGCTTCCAAAGGACCAGAAACCTTCCGAGGTGCCCCTGAAGAATTTAACGGGCCAGATGATATGGGGCCAGATGTAATGAGACCTGTTGCAGGAAGAACAGGAGGAAGAGGACCAGAGTTTTGACGTCCAGTTGGTGTTACTCCACCAGACTGAGGACCAGAAGACTTCTTTATAGGTTCCCCGTGCTTGTTCAGAGGTCCAGAATTCGATTTCTTCATAGAAGCTGAACCAGGCATGCCTCCAGAAGTCATAGGACCTGAAGTATAGACAGTACGGGCAGCATTATTAGGTTGAATTGGTCCTGAATGAGAACCAGCTCCTCCAAAAGACCCTGTCCTTGAAGAAGATCCTGTTATTGGTCCGGATTTCCTAGATTTAGAACCATCAACGGGAATATCAAACATTTTCCCCAGTTCTCCTGACTTTTTGATGTCTCCACCAGTGTATGGCATTGCTGTTGAGCTCATAGTTGGTGTCCTTTCTTTGGGCTGCTCCGGCCGTCCTGATACATAGAGGCCATTACTAAGCTGATGAGATGGGAATCTGGAACCCATCTTTAGAAGACCCTTGATAATTCACACAACAGTACCGCAAGCAGTTGCTAATGGAAGTGTCAAAAGGTTCTCCTGAAAATTGGGGAAAACAACCAAAGGAATTAAATGTTATTGCAATATGCTTGCAGGCTATCTAGGCACTTAAAAGCATAGCTAAGCTAATGTGATGGGAATCTGAAACCCATATACCTTCTACTGAAGAACCCTTGAGAACTCATGCTACAGAACCACCAGCAGTTGTAGAAAGTATCAAAGTCCTCCTGAATAAGGAAAAAAGACTGAAAAAGAAGTCAAGAGGATTAAAATGATTGCAACGGTATCATGATTTGACATGATAAGCTTCTATGTTGCCCAGTAGAAGGGAAACAGGACAAAAGCTTCTATTGTTGCCCATATTGAAATATCATAGACAGAAAATGACAAGCTTCCGTACACATCTTCTCCGCTAATCAAGTAAAAATTAAAAGACAAGCATCCATCCAATCAAATTACAAAAGAAAGAGTAAATTATTATCAAAACTTCTGTTTTAGGGGGAAAATCCACATGAATGGCACTGGTGCCAGACACAACGCCCTCTAAAAGTGAAAATTTACAGCCCGAACGGATAGAGAAAATTCAGTCCTCCACCGTCATTTGGGAAAAAAAAATCAAATTGAGGGAAAAGATCTCAGAAAAAGTGAGTGATCTTAACGCTCAAGGGTCCAATTACAGTACAATGGAACCTAATCAACCGGGGCCCCATATATATCTAGTGTAATCTATCCAACGTCCCAACTTACTATTTACTTCCTCCAACATTATCAAAAGCAAGAACCAAAAATACCACCAAAAAAAGAACCAAAATCCGGTTCCGAAATAGAGGGAGATGAGTATCTTCCATATTTAGAAAGTTTTCACTGAACAGCGCGAGCAACGAACATTACAGCACAATCAAGCACCAGAAATAAAGAGAAAGAAAGGAAAAAGAAGAGCAGAGAAGACCCAGTTTGTACAAAAATTAAGAAAAAGGAAAGGATCTAAGTGGAAAGAAACCAACAAACAGAAATTCCCCAACTTACTAAGAGCTGGAAGAAGAAGGCAGCAAGAAAAAGCAGAGAGGAGAAGAAGCAAATGGATTTAGCATACCTGAAGCGGAAGGCCTTAGAAAGAGAGTGAGAGTTGAAATCAGAAGATTTGGACGCATTATAGGTGGATCAAAAAGAAAACAAAAGCAATCTGAGTGAGTCTTGTGGAAATTTCAGAGTGTAACTGATGATATTCTGGGAGTCCCAGGTTGGAGAGCCGCAACAAAACTTGTGGGTTGTCAGCTCAGGCAACTCCAAAGCAAAGAAAATTTTATTTAAAAGAGGAAATCTTTGTTAAATTATATAGCTGCTCCCTCCCCCCTCTCTCTCCCCTCTCTCTCCTCCCCTCTCCCTCTCGTTGGTTCAGCTTACCGCGGTTGGCCCCCAGCGGGCAAGGGGAGACCTGGAAAGTATGTAATCCCCAAAATACCCTCAACTCTGAGGATGACTTTCTGACAGGTTCCCTTCTACTGTCTTGGGAGAATTGTAAAGAAAAGACCCATATTTAACATTAATTGTAAAACATTCCATTAAAATAAAATTGCTTATAGTAACGAAAAAATTAGAGTTTTTTATTATAAATTATTTTAAACGTAAAATCAATGTCTAAAAATATGAAAATCGTTAAATTTCATCTTACTAATAATGTACTTAAACATCTAATGAACTTTTTATTTTTTGATAATCATCTAATGAACCTTTTTGTTGACACGAGGTTGAGTTCGTCCTTTGTTGTAATTTTTGCTTTTGTTTTTGTCCAGTCACGGACGTTAGGATTTGCGTCTGGCATTGGTTGCAGTTTTTGCGGCAGATATTTAAAATTCTTACGTGAATTTAGAATCAAAATGTTATGACTTTTTATAAAAAAGAATCATTTCATTAATTTTTTTCCTCAAATAAATAAATAACACTGAAGTTCTTTTATTACCGCGGGCTCATGAAATATATGATTAATTTTTAAAATCTAGAAAAAAAACTAACGCGTGCATTTTTTTAATATATATAATATGTAAAAATTTTGAAAATAAGAAAAATAATTAATGAATGGGATAAAAAGGGAAAAGGCGGTGAAAGCAAAATCTAGCATATCTTTGATTTGATGGAACAAGGAGGAGCATCAATCGGCATCAATTTGCTGCGCTTGTGTCCAATTTGTCTGCGATGGATCCTCTCTTCTTTGTTACTCTCTTCTCCATCATTGCCTCACCTGCCCTCGGGCTAAAATATGAGCAGCCAATTGCCTCTACTATCCCTTTTTATTTTTTTAATATAAAAAATATATAAGATTAAAATGTAAATTTGTTTTTAGAGTTTTCACTCGTGAACACTGAGTATTCAAAAGAAAAATTTATATTTAATATTATCTTAAAAATTTAAAATCGTAACAATTTTATTTCATACTATTACAAAACTAGTAATACCATTAAAATAGTAACATTGTCATAAATATTTTTAGTTATAGAAAAAAATTATTATAATTTTAAACTTTTAAGTCAATATTAAACTCAAAAAACTTCCGAGTGCATAACATTTTCAAGTAAAAAATTTTTAAATAAATTTGCATCTTAATCCAAATATATATAAGCGAAAACAATATTATGTATACAAGAACTTTGTTTTTGGTAAAGGACAATCTTATTAATAATCAAGTAAAATGATACAATAAAAAAAGATTTCAACAGCTAACGTATCAGCAGTAGAATGAAACAAAGACAACAAGTACATATAAAGAAACATAAAGACAAAGTAAAAACACAATGACAAGGAGGTGTAAAAAGAGGCTTGGATGCTCTAGCAAAGGGATATTTGGTATTAGACAAAAAAAAATATTTTTTTCGTAAATCAGAATAAATTTTTTCACATATTTATTTTGTATCTCATAAAATTATTTTTAAAATCATAATTTAGTTTCCATTCACGTATTTTTTAGATCCAAACAAGCATCTTATCTTGCACTAACTAACGCAGCTCTGTGCACAATCATACTAAAGGCTCCAAAATTTTTCAGAAGAATCTCGGCAAACACCCCATAAAATTGTTCCCATAAGTTAACTCCGTCGCAAGACATGAGCACAAGTCATGATCTCACAATATCTCCACCATCTGAGGAGTTGAAAACGAGGTTGATTATGGTGCCATATCCATGCAACAACAAAATAGAACCAAGTTGATGATGGTCACGAGGCGGCAACAGCGTTGATGAGGGAAGCTGGCGATTATTCAAGAATAAGCCTGCAGAAACCTTTAAAAGCAAGCCAACCTAATCACCCAAAATGGTTATATAATTCAAATATTAATTAACTCTATTTAACTTCGTCCATCTCAAAGGAATATTATTGAAAACAAGGTAAAATCGACGAAATTTAAATCCGGACAAATAAATAGAAATAAGAAAAAAGTAGTTTTTTATAGGATACAAACAAGTATATGAAAAAAAAAAATTTATATCAATTTGGGTAAATAAGTATTTTTAGGATGTGACTATGTGAGTGCATGAACCAAATTAGAACAACTCAAATTAAAATTGAATGCGCCCAACAAAATAGTTTAAGGTTATGCATGCACTTTAATCCTTTGTCTGTTTTATAATAGTTAGTGCTCGTTTGGATTAATGATTAGAGAAGTAGCTTGTTATCAATTTAACTTTTGAAAAAGTGAAGTTAGGTAAAAGTTAAATTAGATAACTTGAATTGTGTTTGGATTGGAGTTTAGAAAAGTTGGTTTGTAAAAATAAGATTAGTAAAAAGTTGTTTGGATTATGATTGAATAAAAGTAAGTTTGGTTATAAAATAATCAAATGAATGAGTTTTAAATAATAAAATTAAACATGATTAAAAAAATGATTTCACATAATACAATAAGTACCTGTTTAGGTCCGCGTTTACTGGCCCAAATGTGGCTTATAATTGAAAATAAGGTCAGTGGGAGTTTTGGTTCGTTTGGCAAAGCTTTTTAACAATTGGGCTTATTAATTTTTAAGCCACTTCAACCCACGATTGAGATAAGCTGGTGAGATGCAGCTTATGATCACATGAGAAGAGCTTATGACCATTCTGAGATGTGTCAGAGAATTTATTCCCTTTATTCTTCTCTTCCATTTGCCTTCTTATTCCTTCGTGAGGCTCACTTTCATTTTTTTTAACCCCAAGCTCCCACCCTTGCTTTGTC